GAACCCTCTGAAGTTGCCACTTAAGACCACAAAAATGTTCTCATTTTAAAGCTATTATCTGACACCAAGTATCATAAATGTTTATGAATAACACTGAATTCTGTAGAAATATACGTTCCTTTGATTTCTGTATTTCTTGAGGTCAGAATTGAAGATATAGAGACTGACATTTATCCTTATAAGTAGGTGGTACAAGATATTTTTCGAATGCACTTAATTTGGATGCGCTTGTGAGTTCTTTATTCAAGTAGATGGATTTGATTGTAATAACCACCCAATGTGCCTGAGTCAACTTTTGAGAAGAGAAAATCTGCCCTTGTTGATAGCATTATTACTCACAGCTGGAGTCTAACAAGGCTATCAACAGACCATGAGCTAGTTATTTCCAATTTTACGTGTTTCTCTTTATTAAATATAGTTGACTCATACTGAGAATTTCAGGTTCTCTATATAACAGTACAGTATTGTTATGCATTTCTGAAATTACAGATGCCAAAATTTCTAATTTTCTGTGGATTTTTAAAAAATTGAACAAATAACATATATAATAACAACTTTAATACTTTAAAATTTTCTGTATGTCATTTTGTTTTTCCTTCAAATTGATGCATATAAACTTATCTGATTCATTTTTAACCAGCATTTCATTATGTCCTTTAAAATTATAAGAAAATGTATTTTAGTTCTGGCAGCTTGACACAATCAAAATCAGTTAAGCTTCAGCACTTCACGTATCGGCTACAATATTAATTCTAGGTAGAAAGCAATATTCTTACAAGAGCATAAACTAATGCATGATTTCATAAGCCATATACAGAATTTAAAACCTATCAAATTCTTCACATCACTAGAAACAGAGTCAATCTATTTGAGGAACTAATGTTATTCTATCAGAAATATCCATATACAAACACACTGTATATGCTTATTTTCTATATCGATTCAACATTACTATTCATATCAACTTATAAAAGGATTGTGAATTATATTTACTGTTCAGTTTTATAGCTTTGGATTTATAGAGGATTACATACTGACAAATACTCTCTAGTACTGTATATTTTTATATGTTTAATTTCTATTCAGATTTTTCTCTGCCAAAATAAAATATATCACATCATGGTTTTATGCATTTCTACCATTAAAAATATATTAGAATAAGCTTGCTCTAAAAATCCATATGGATCTTTATTATTGACTTATTCTCTTTTTATATGCAAATTATTAACTCTAAATGAACATCTATTTGGATGCCTTCCAACTGGAGGTCTGTAAGTAAGCTACAGGGGAAATTGAGATTTCAGATAAAAGCATCAAACAAAACATATACAGGGGATTATGGTTTGTGATCCTAAGTGCCTTTACTCTAACGTGCATTCAAAGAAAGAACTGGGGGTGGGGGGAATCTCATCACAAGAATAACAAAAAAAATGAGTCTATAGTAGCAAATGTCATAGCTTTGAGAATTAAGGAAGAAATCCATCTCTCCTGAAAGTAAAATTGGGGTGTTGATGAACTAATGGATTAAAATGTCAAAGAACCTGTGAAGTCTTAGAAGATAAGGCCTGCTAACAAGGTTAAAGCCAGCCGGTATATTGTTTTGAAACAATGAAAAAAGGAGGAGTAATTTACAGCTAGTTTGGCCATAAGCAATGTGTATAGCCTCTCAGAGACTGAATGGGGAAAATAGAAAAGACAAGAGAGACAAGGTATGTGAAGAGTTCAGTGATAGTAGGTACTTGGCTAATACTAATCTCTTTCCCCTAAACTGATTTTTTTTTAAATATCCTTACTAATGAAATAATTTTTTTTCTCCTATGTTGAAATCTACTTTTCATCTTTTTAGAATAGAAAGTAAAAGGTATCCTATGAACATAAATAAAATACATTTGGCTATAGATACAGTTTGATATATTTTCTCGTAATGAAATGTGCCCAAGGCCAGGCCAGGTCTGCGGACCTCAGTTGTAAGCATGATTCTCCTATTGGCCCAGACTGTTGTACCAGTACCTCCAGGCATACATCTTCCTTGTATATTTTTAAGTGCTTAAAAATCCTAGATCACCTCCTCCCACCCAAGGAGACGTCTCATATTTCATTGCTCGGTTAGGTTCCATCTACCTTCCTAAAACATTTACTGCCAAGAGTAAAGTTTACTACAGTTGGCATATACTAGTGGTCCTCAGACTTTATGTTGAATTATAAACATCTGGAGGGCTTGTTAAACCCAAGGTTGCAGGGCCTCAACTCCTGAGCTTCTGATTCAGTAGTTCTTGGATGGAGTTCTCAGGGTATGTTGATGCTGCAGGCTTGGGGACCACTCACAGAGAACAGACGTTGGCTAACATATATCCACCTCCTGGGCCTGAGAATAAGGTGGCCTTCCCTGAGCAAATGGCCATGCAGTAGAGCATGAATGCTAGAGGTCTGCCTACAAGGATGAGACATGCTTGGGGTGGAATTGGTACTGACAAACAGCAATGATTTTCCTTCCCTCCTCCCTCCCTCCCTCCCTTTTCTCCTCCCTCCCTCCCTCTCTCCCTTCCTATATGCACATCTCAAAGGTTCTTTTTGTTTACTTAGCTCCATTTAAACCAATCTAAGTGAATTGTACAAGCCTAAAGTCAAAGCATTGACTATCTGAGAAATAATTTTACTAAATCACAAAGGGTTTTTTTTTGTTTTTTTTTTTAGCGGTACGCGGGCCTCTCACTGCTGCGGCCTCTCCCTTTGCGGAGCACAGGCTCCGGATGAGCAGGCTCAGCAGCCATGGCTCACGGGCCCAGCCGGTCTGCGGCATGTGGGATCTGCCCGGACCAGGGCACGAACCCATATCCCCTGCATCGGCAGGCGGACTCTCAACCACTGTGCCACCAGGGAAGCCCCACAAAGGTTTTTTAGGTAGTTGCATAATTCCTGAGGAAAAGCCATCATTTTACAGATTTGCTATTACTCTTCCATTAAGCTCTGCATTACTTTTGTGGCAAATTCTTTGTTTGCCAGATCAAGAAAATCTTTCATTAAATGCTCCATTGTCATTCCAAATAATAGAATTGTGTTCCCTACTGCATATCTTTCTGTGAAAGCATAAGGTATATAATTTGGCATTGGAAAATTGTACTCTGAAGAAAGGAGAAATCTGTTTGCATTTTAAATGTGGTTTGTGATGTAATTTGATAGAACACTGCCATGAAGCCATAAACTGTGAGGCAAGGGAAGGGACCATGAGCCTGTCCCATCAACAGGGGTCTAGCTGCCTGTCCAAGTTTGCCTGTTCCCAGCTGCCCTTCGGCACTGCTCAGGTTTAAATACCAATGGTTGTGATTCTGACTCTCATGGGGGCCAGGGTTTTCAGAACAGCAGCAAGATTCCAGGAATCTCTCAGTTATTTGATAGATTGCCATGGAGGTGTGGTGGGTGGCTGGTGGGCGTGGGAGCCTTTTCCTCCTCCTGGCTTCCTGAGAGCGGTCAGCAATTTCTCCCAGGTCCTGCGCTCTAGTCCACACCCTCTTCTCACATCTGCAGGACATTTACCTGTTTGGTTGGAGTTGTGTTTCATATAGACCAGGAGGCTACCAGTAATCAATGGTGTCATATCAAAATTCACTTTAGGGCTTCCCTGGTGGCGCAGTGGTTAAGAATCCGCCTGTCAATGCGGGAGACAAGGGTTCGATCCCTGGTCCGGGAAGATCCCACATGCCGTGGAGCAACTAAGCCTGTGCGCCACAACTACTGAGCCTGTGCCCTAGAGCCTTCGAGCCACAGCTACTGAAGCCCACACACCTAGAGCCCATGCTCTGCAACAACAGAAGCCACTGCAATGAGAAGCCGCGCAGAGCAACAAAGACCCAACGCAGCCATAAATAAATAAATAAATTTATTAAAAAAAAAATTCAGCTTTTTTTTTTAGGCTTCACACTGTTTTGCATTTTGCTTTACTTAATAGAATATTGAGAGATATCATTATACAAAAGGCTGCCATATTATATTTTAAGCATTAAAAAGCTTAATGGCTTTTTATTTAATCAGCTCCATATGATGATATTATGACGATCTTCATTTCCAATCATTCACTATTAACATAAAAATAATGCTGTGCTACATGTCCACATGCATACAGCATTTCACACAACTGTGTGTGTATCTGTAGGACACAGTCCTGGAAGTAGAATGGCTGGGTTGGAGTTTTAATGCATTTTTCATGTTAAATAGTTTTGTCAACATTTTTCCATGAATGAATCTCAGTTTCTTCACATTTTACCAACAGATTATTTTATCACACATAATCTTGCCAGTCTGAAGACATGAGGAGTGGCATCTTGATGTGTTTCTTTTCATTATACTTTTATTTTTGATAATTGTAGATTTATATGCAGCTGTAAGAAATCTGAGGCGAATTAATGTAACCTGTCAATTCATGTCTGTAGAATGTTGATTATAACAAGATTGACTGGTGATCCAGTCACTTCATGGTGGATTCGCTCTGGATTTTCCCCAGGGTCAGCCCCGTCAGGTCTCTGAGCCAGATTCACGTGGTTTCAGGAGGGTGCCATTCACGGCATGAGTACAGCAGCACAAAACCTTTTTGTTTTTGAGAAAAATAATTAAAAACAGATAGTCTGCTTACTTTTAATACTTAGGCTGATTTAGCAGATGACCAGTTCTTCTTGTACTTATTTTTATTATGTTTTATTCTTCATTTATGGAGATGAGATTCCTCTTTTGGAAAGCATACATAAAAACTAAATTTGCACAACATGAAAAATAGGTCATTCCCTCAAGCACGTAAAGAGTTGCACTGTATTTTAGCCACACAGAAATACACCTTCCACCTATAGTTATATGCGAATCATAATATGTAATTGCAGAAATGTAGAGTTCCAGATGCCTAATCTGAATTCTTCCTAAAGTGCTTTTCTATTTTTTCCAAACAAGTTGCCATTCTTCTGACTTTATCAGAGTAAACTATAAGTAATGGAATCCCTGTTTTCTTTTAAAAGGAACTGTTGGACCTTCAACATGCCTACCATAAACTAAGCAGGCAGCACCAGGCAAAGACGGCAGAAATGACCCACGTCAACAACCTCATGGATCAAAATGAGGCCGAAGTGAAGAAACTGAGATTTCAAGTAGAAGAACTAAAATGGGGACTCAACCAAAAGGAAAATAAGGTATCTTATAAGTGGAACATATGTCACATAGATTCAAAATTGCATTTCATAGCATAGAAAAAGCATTTTCTTTATTAGCATATGGCATTGCTTGAGGTAAAAACTTCACATTTTTAAAAATTAAAATCAAAAAAAGTGTAAGTGTAAGGAGAGGAAACTATTATTGTAAACAACATGCTCATTTTTGTAGTGTTAGTAGTGCATTTTTTACGTGTGCCCTATCGCTTCAGGTATGTTTTAGCTTGGTCGTGTGGGGAGGCATGGTACCATAGGTATCATTAAAACTTGGTGTTGGGCTTCCCTGGCGGCGCAGGGGTTGAGAGTCCGCCTGCCGATGCAGGGGACACGGGTTCGTGCCCCGGTCCGGGAAGATCCCACATGCCGCGGAGCGGCTGGGCCCGTGAGCCATGGCCGCTGAGCCTGCGCGTCCGGAGCCTGTGCTCCGCAATGGGAGAGGCCACAACAGTGAAAGGCCCGCGCACCGCAAAAAACAAAAAAAACAACTTGGTGTTTTAAGTTTTAAGCTTTAATTCTATATATTATAGAAACATGATGTATGTTGTGATTACATGTTATGATATATACATTCTCCCCAGCGCTCTCTGATGTTTAAAGAATGTAGGCATCTTGTTTTGTTGTGAAAGGTCAACTTGCTAATGGTTTATGGCATGTTTAAGAATGGGATACCTTGACAGTACACCTGCAACAGGGAGGTGTGATTTCAGCTGCAGTTGCAGACAACAAAGAGATTTTTCTTGAAAGAAGCGGTCTCCACTGTCAATGTGATAGCGTCTGCCACCCCATGGCGGCAAGTACTTCAGATGGGGTTCCAGGCACGGCATCTGCTTCTAGCGGACAACTTTTGAGGCAAAAATAATTACTTCCCTGGTTAGAGAGACTGTTTGCAGATAATGCCAAACAGTTGGAAGTTTAAAAAAGAAAACGGAATTGTTTTTCCAAGGGGTAATTCAGTAACAGAACACAGTCCACATTTTAAGATTTAATTTTTCATCAAAACTACTCCAGTCAAGCACACCAGATTTTCTAATCTAATAACATCACATGAAAATAGAATGATTGGACCAGTGAGGCTCATACATCATCCCTGATCTTACTAGGGCTGACTTGTCCGTGGGCATTTCATCCTTGATGTCTCTTTTTATGAAGACATATATGTAGTTTTTAATGGTGTACGTGGGTAGTGAGGCTGGACTGTGGAAGAGTAATTCAGGAGAGGAATGTAGAGTGGTTTTGGGTTTTTATTTTCATCATAGCCATTATTCTTGTGAATAGTTTTGATATAAAAGCATTTGTTGCAAGTGGTGGTAAATAACCTTTGGGTTTGCCAATACAGGCTTTAAGAAATTGCTTGGGACTGAGTCATCAGCAAGGAAATTGTGATAATACACAGTTTTCCAGGGCTAATGAAGTACTAGTTCCCAAAAATCTGATACAGCCATCTAATCATGTAATTTTAAAAACGGCTGTGGTTTTAAGAAGGATTCTGTTCGTTGCCCCTCCCTGTAGGAGAATCATTCTTCTCACATCATCAACATCAGGCTTGGCACATGTGACATTTGCTTTGCCTGACGAGCAGAAGCTCCGCGTGCCACTTACCATCAGGGGCTTTATGAGCCCAAACAGGGCTCTGCTGTGCCTCTTTTCCCATGTGTCTTTTCTGCCTTGTCTCATGTCATGAGGCCAGCAGGTGCAAAGTAGACATCATCCTCTCAGCGGGAATTCTGAAGTGGAAAGGATATGGAGCAGAGCTTTGCTGACCAAATGGATCCACATGGGTAAAAAAAAATCAATATTTGTTGTGATAAGCCACTGACATTTTGGATTTGTTTGTTGCTATAGGAAAACTTAGCTAAAGCTGACTGGTATGGTCAGCTTATATTACATTGACTCCAGTGCCAGAAGTAGGTGGTGAGAAAACTTATTGGAGGTTAGAATGATGGCAACGCATTTTATGGAGTCCTGAAAGGTTTGGTACATTATATCCTCTAATACCTTGGAAAGCTGATGATGGACAGAATCAGCTGTGGTTTTTAGATGAATAGGTATGTAGCTAGTATTTCTTGTTTGCTATTGGTGTGTTTGACTAGTGCCTAAAAGAGAGATGAACTCAGAAAAGACTTGTCGAATTTTCAAAAAGATATGTAAGATAATACAGAAATTTAAGTAGTTCTGTGACTGCCAGGGTCTGATTTTCATTTGCAAATGGTAATACATAAAACTGAGGATGGCTTTGAACAACGAACATCAATTAAGCAAGAACATCAATTAAGCTTAGGCAAGAACCAATTCAACAGTGTGGCCTTCAAGCCTGTTGCTAAAAGCTCTTAATTAATGTCATTTTGTATAAATCCTTGAAGCTGAACAAAATGGCACAGGGAGAAGAGAATGAGATTGTGCTTCTCTCAGAACATCCCACAGATTCAAGGCAACTGCAGGTAGCTCAGAGACAATAGAATGTCTCCCAGAGAACTGCAGATGGGACAACTGACCTGTGGTATTTGCTGGAATCAAAAGAAAAAAGGACTTGTTTTTGTGAAAGATACGCTGGCAAATGAGCTTCCAGCCTGGGATAAAATAGACTGATTTATCAGGATTTGAAAGAACTCTTCATTCCTCCAAACTTCTCGGACAAGGAGCTGGCTGGGCATGCTGTCCACACCTGAGAAGGAGTAACGTCCAGAGCCATATTCAAATAAGGACATGGTGAATAATGCAAAAGAACCACCTAGAGAACAAAGACCATGGAGAACTACAGACTAGGCAGCTATTATCAGGGAGGAGAACCCAGGCCGGATAAAGGAGCATTCCCCATGAGCAGAACAGGAGCTCCTTGAAACATCTGAAAAGTTAGATTTCATAAATATTTTCGATTTTCTTTTCTACATGGAAGTTTTTATTGCAGTTTTCCTGTCCTAGTTTCACTATAGTATATTGGGTGGGTGAGGGAGGAGAGTATAAATTACTTGACTTTTGAGTACGTAGATTCTGGAGCAAGAGAAGGTGTATTGAGATCTGACATAGATATGAGATCTTTGACTTTGAGATCAAGGTTGTGATTGGAAGGTTGCTTGGGTAATTTCTCTTGGAGAAAGGGTGAAAATTTTTGAATGCTGAAGGAAGGAAAACAAACATTTGTGACCAGGAAGATGGGCTGTGTTGTATTGTATGTGAGAGCAGGAATGAGTGAAAGGGTATGTGTGTGTATTTTAATCCCCATCTGTGGGAGGAATATAGTTCCCAAGCATAAATGGTGGGCATGGTCCTGTGAGGTCTTTGGCGAGTGGAATTTGTGCAGATTTGAAATAGAACCTTTGGAACTATAATTCCATATGGATAAGTATTTGGACATATTTCATATCTGAAGCTTAAAAATAGATGCATTGAAATATATGTTCAAAACGTAAAATAGTTCAGTGTTCTGCACCTCTCCATCCAATCAGTTGATCACCGGAGAGGACTGATCCAAAGCACGATCAACTCATATGGGTATTGTAATCTGGATTATTTAATTGCAGTTGTCAGTCTTCAGTTTTTCTTTGATTAAAGGTCATACGCTTTCTGGTGGCTGGGAATGAAAATATTTCTCATGGAAATAAGATTTTGCATTAGATAGCAGTCAACATTACTATAATTTGACTTATCATAGAGAAGCAAAGGAAATTCTGTTAGTTTCACTGCTGAGTTTTTTAATTTCATAGTAACAAATTCTTCAAATTGCAATTAGTTGAAATTAATGTTTAATTGGAACTGTCAAATACAAAGTTCCCAACTCCCACAAGTCAACAAATTTTAATTAAATGAAAATGAGATATTAATCCTCTATACTGAAAAGAGAAATGGACACTTGGGGGCCCTTAAGAGAAAACCCAGGGTCTGATTAAAGAAATGAGCAAATTAAAAAATTCATTTTGGATGAGTTGCTTTTCTTTAAACAAACTTACTAAAAAAAAAATTCTAAATTGATGTGTATTTGTTAGAAGTCAAACATTCTTTTCTCATCATTTCATTGAAGCCATTATGTGATGGCAAATTTTAATTGAGACTTCATTATTGAATTGCAGAACTAATTACATATATATCCACATTAAGATACCAAAATAACTTACCACTTTAATAAATATGGTGGGAAAAACAGTCTAATGAATAATATAATGATGCAATAACCAAAGTTGGTAGAGACAGGACAGATAGTACCTAAGAAGCAAGGAGTATAATATAAACAATTACTAAGACACATGGGTGCTCCACACTGTACTAGTATCAAGAAGACTGAAGGACTGAATGAGATAAGGCTTGCCAAGGAATATTTTAAATTTTGTAAAACAATATCATATCATATAAAGAAGGAAAAATTTTTTAAAAATCAACCATCATAACACCATCGTATCATATTACTTCAGTGTATATTAACTTCTAATGCCTAGGCAATTTTATGCAGAATTGCAGTCATCATTTGAAATAATATACTCTGCTTTACCAGTTACCATAATCAGTTTTCCTGCTGCTATGTAGTTTTCATACTTGGTATTTTAAGGGGTGGGATAATATTTATTTCCTTGGATATAAATTTATTTAATCAACCAAGCCTCCTTTACTGAAGGTTGTTTGGATTTTTTTCTCAACATAACTGTACCATGACTACTTTCATGTACAGTTGACCCTTGAACAACATGGGTTTGAACTCTGTGGGTCCACTTAATACGAAGATTTTTTGATAGTAAATACTACTTTCTACCCAGTTCGTGGTTGGTTGAATCCGCACACATGTAGGGCCAACTCTAAGTTATAGGATGATTAACTTCTAAGCTGTTCAAATTCAACTGTACAGACCTTTTTCCCCATTGGAAAAAAAAGTTTTCCAAGTGGAATTATTGGGCTTAAAGGATATGAATATAATATGACTCTTGATATATTCAGAATTACTAATTTTCTTTGCTTCTCAGCGATAGGTCAAATTGTGGAAACGTTGGCTATTATGC